GGATGCTGGGGTGCCAAAGGTTATTTTCATACCCTCTTATAAAATCATAATTGATTGAAAGGATAAATGTAAAAAGAGTTGTCTAGAAGAGTTGCTACAAATTCAATATTTACCATTTTATTAGCTGAGCTATATATCAAATTCTTTAAACTAATTTAGTTATAAATTTTTAAAACCATGTTACAATTATTACTTTAATTCTTGAATCCTTTACTTTAATATTACTCATATACCTAATGTATATACCAAAAGTTACCATATGTAAAGCTTTAAATATAGAAAAAACATTGTATTTTAATATGCGCCTTTTACTTTTATTCAGGCTTCTCCTTTTCTCCAGTTGTTTTTAACCAGAGTAGTCCGATGTCCTGAGTCCTGTACCCTGTGTCCTGGATCCCGTGTTGTTTGTGTCCACGTCCAAATCCCTACCCCAACACCAAACTTTGATGGTGACGAAGGCAATTTGCATTTGAAGGGGTCGTGTTAGCCACTGGGTGACAGGCATTAAATAATTAACTCGCATTCAACATTTATAAGGACACGGGAAATGCGAGGAGTGGGATTTGCTGTGCTCAGACAATGTCAAGTAATCCCCAAAAGAAAACATTTAACATACGTAAGTGGCAATTGAATTAAAAACCAATAATATCAACCAAAAGTAACGGGCGGGAAAAAGGGCAGGGGACTGTAAACGGAACATGTGTAGAGATATTTATTTAACAAACATTGAGAAAATAACAAGAGCAAAGCAAGAGGCACGCAGAAAAAATCACACTGAGACAAAAAGGGGCCTTTATATATATAAATTTCCTTATAAAAATGTTTAAATAAAGGGTCTTTTGATAAAAAGTAAGTAAGTTAGCTTCTAGGCTTAGAAAAATATTAAATTGAATAAGCAGGAAGGAATGAAGGAAATGTAAATATTAACTAAAAGGTTAATTTGATTTATTAATGCCTTTGCAAATCGAAACCTTGGAATTTTTCCTCTGTGGATGCAGAGAAAAAAAGCGAGGAAAAGCCCTCAGTCGGGGGAAAAGGGTCCGGCGACAATCGAAATGCGAATGGAAAATCAAAGGTGAAAAGATGTGAAAAGCAAACGGAACGTGCACGGGGAGCATTTAACCACCCGCCCATTTCCCGCTGTTCCCGCCCATTTCCCGCCTTCCCGATTTCCACCTCTTACCTGCAACTCATGGGTAAGCCGCTGCTGAGGCACACATGACGTATTGGCAGGCGGTCCCTTGCCCCCATTTTTCCGCTTTTCCGCTTTTCCTGCTCGAAACTCCGGGGCACTTGAAAGCCCGGGCATATCTTGATTGTTTGCATGTAAATCTGCACAAAATCCCCAAAGTACCCAAGTACCCGAAGTACCCAAACACCCAAAGGAAGAGACAGAGTCCTGGCCGCCAGTCCTCGCCCCCCCCTGATTTTCCCCGCCCCTTGACGATGATGTCCTTGGCGCATCGCATCGCATCGCATAGCATCGCATCGCAATCCCTGGCACAATCGAACCGAATGGGGTCCAGGAGGTGAGCCGAGTTACCCGTGCGCTTATTCCAGGTGTTTTATATGCTCGTCCTTTGTGACTGAGCGCTGCAGGTGTCTTCTCCCATTTGCACTCTGCAAAAATATTTATTTCTTATTTAAAGCATTGCAAAATCAGAAAAACGACCGCTCAACACAGTCGTAATATATTTTCTTCAATATTTAAATATAAAAAAAAATAAAACGTTGAAGCCTTTTTGACGAAAAAAAACTTAAAAACTAGTTTTAAACAAGCTTGTTAATAAAAATATATATAAAGCATAGAACAAAATATTAAGAGAAACCTTTAGAAAACCGAAACTAAATTAAAATAATTTAGTATTCTTATATGTTCATCTCTAATATGAATTAAATAATAATTATATACTATACAGCAAAATACAAATAAATTTAAATGATTAGAGATTATTTGCACATGCATTTGAATAATATTTATAAATAGTTAGCTGCTTAAGAAGGTCCTTAAAAACGAATCTGGGCATCCCATTTTTTCCCACATTGCGTGGCCAATTTTCCGATTTTCTACGATTTTCTGCTGCTTGCTTCTGCCCCGTTCTTCAGGCAGTGCTTCCTCTGTTACCCATTTTCCCTTTCCCAGCGCTTTTCCTTCTTTTTTTGTCGAGCAACTACCTTTATGGGCAGCCACGCCCACTGCATTTATTGGAATTTCACAATAAACTAACGTGGAGGTGCAGAGTGCAGAATGCAGAAAAAAAGGATGCGATTCTCGTAGGCCAAAGCCAAACCATGGCATTTGTACAAGTTTTTGGTTTGGCTGGGCTCACTTTTTTCCTTACCCCGTTTTGGTTTTTATTTTTTTTTTTTTTTGCAGCAACAGCAACAGTAGCAACAGCCCCCAAGGACCTTTTTCTTTTTTTTTTTGTTTTGTTTTCTGCGAAGGATGTAATTAAAAAAGGGCCACAGCAACAGCATGGTGGCGCAACAAAAAAATAGAGCTTGTAAACTTTGCAGCACACGACACTCGAAGTTGCGATAACAGTCGGCCCCCTTTTCGATGCACCCACGCCCCTTTTTTAGAACCCCCCTCCCCCCCCTTTTTTCACCCCCTTGGGGGTGCCAAATCGATGAGCTGCTCTAACGATATCCATAGCTCAAAGCCAAATCTCGGCACAAACAGGATATACATATGGCTCGGCAGTCAAAGTCAATCCTTCGCACAGGACGAAGCTCCAGCTCCCCTCGTCCCTAGTTTTTCCCAGCCATGTTGTCGATATGGGTATGCATCCGTTGCGACTTGGGTTTTGTAGTCAAGTCAGCTCCTGTTTTCCCTTTTGGCCATCGCCCTCTCGCTGGATTTTTTTTCTTTGTTTTTCCGCCTTTGTTTCTTATCGAGAGTCGCTTTTTTTTGCGGCTATTTTTCCCTGTGATATTGAGCCGGCTGGCACTCAAAGGAAAGCCAGTGCCGGGGATTTTCCCCCTTCAATCTCCACCCATTTTGGCCCAGTTGCCGCCTTGACGTATTCGGTTTTAGTGTGATTTGTACGGATGAAAGGAGCATGTGGAAGGCTGGGCAAAAATCAGGAAAAGTGGATGTGCTCGCATTGCGATTTCATGCTCAAAAGCTACTGGCCATCAAACGGAGCTGAAAGTGAAACGCTTAGTTCCGTTTCCCCGTTTTCCCACCGATCCCAATTCCAATCCCAATCTCAATGCCATTCGCAATCCCAATCCCGCTCTCGGATTCAGTTTTTGAATGACCAGCAACAGGAGATGGATGTGGCTCAGCCAGGGACAAGGACTCGTCATGAGAGACAATAAAAGGGGGAAACATAAATGACTTAGAAAGGAATGCTGTATCTGCATTCTTGGGGTAAATATTATTTCAATACTCACTAATTCTCTAAAAATCTGTATTTTAAACTTGGTTTGAATGGTTTGGTGATTTTTCGTAATTTTTCGACATATTCGAAAAATGGCTTAGCAGAAAAGTGACCTAAATCCTGCACTTCCAAGCCCATAACTTTTCTTATAGTAATCCGAATAAAAAGTGGAATGTCTCAAAATGATTGTGGTTTAAATCTCTAAACTTCTGTGTTCTCACTTTATTTTTTATTTTTTGGTCGATCACTTTTGCAGAAAAGTGACCTAAATCCTGCACTTCCAAGCCCATAACTTTTCTTATAGTAATCCGAATAAAAAGTGGAATGTCTCAAAATGATTGTGGTTTAATTCTCTAAACATCTGTGTACTCACTGTATTTTTTATTTTTTGGTCGATTTTTCGTCATTTTCAACGATGTAACCTCTTTCCAAATTTTCGAAAAATGGCTTTGCAGAAAAGTGACCTAAATCATGCACTTCCAAGACCATAACTTATCTTATAGTCATCCGAATAAAAAGTGGAATGTCTCAAAATGTTTGTGGTTTAAATCTCTAAACATCTGTGTACTCACTTTATTTTTTATTTTTTGGTCGATTTTTCGTCATTTTCAACGATGTAACCTCTTTCCAAATTTTCGAAAAATGGCTTTGCACAAAAGTGACCTAAATCATGCACTTCCAAGCCCATAACTTGTCTTATAGTCATCCGAATTTAAAGTGGCATGTCTCAAAATGATTGTAGTTTAATTCTCTAAACACCTGTGTACTCACTTTATTTTTTATTTTTTGGTCGATTTTTCGTCATTTTCAACGATGTTACCCCTTTCCAAATTTTCGAAAAATGGCTTTGCTGAAAAGTTACCTAAAACCTGCACTTCTAAGACCATAACTTGTCTTATAGTCATCCGAATTAAAAGTGGCATACCTCAAAATGATTGTGGCTTAATTCTCTAAACATCTGTGTTCTCACTTTATTTTTTATTTTTTGGTCGATTTTTCGTCATTTTCAACAATGTAACCTTTCCAAATTCTTAAAATTGTTTTCCCTCCAGATTTTCCCATTTCCACCTTCATCTCAGAAATGCGTCGTTTTTTCATTCGCTCCCAATCGACGACTGTGTTCAAGTCCCAGGGAAATGCAACATTCGTTGCTGATGTTGCTGCTGTGCAGACGATGTTGCTGCTGTTGTTGCACTCACATCCGTTACATGGCGGCTTATGTGTTGCCGGTTGTCGGTTTCTGGTTGTTATGATTTTCCTTTTTGCCTAGACTTGCTCTTCCTACGTTCCCAAATGTATAAAGAGTTTTTTAGTTTACGCATTAAGGCAGATTCAAGAAGATTGAAATATAAAAATTAAAGCAAAAATTATAATTTAAAAACATTACTTGACCTAAAAGTAATTTGTATACTTTTATAAAATTGGTACGAGTTTTTACAGTTCTTTTTAATTTCGAGGTTATTTACTTACGTACAATACAATTTTATAAATGTATGAGTTAAGCTAAGTTACTTAAAAATAAATTTTGGTTTTAAGTACGTTCCATTGCTTTGAAAGTCTTATTTAAAGTGTAGTATTTTTGTTTTTATAATATATCTTATTTAATAACAATAATTTTTGAATTCATCAAATGTTTTATTACTTTACTAAGGATAGTGTTCATGCATTTGTACTTTGTGATTTAACAGGCGAAAGTGTAACTGATTCATAAAACAATCGACGGCGCTCTGGAGTTTAATGCATCAACCATGAAGGAGTGGGAATTTCTGGATCATTTTATGTTTTTGGAGAAAGGGAATATCAGGGGGGCGATCTGGACTATATGTTCTAGGATCGCATCCTACTTGTCGAACCGCCCCGAATGGAGGGCGTGCCGGGTCACGAATGGCTTGGCCTTGGGTTTGCGCAGCTCCACCTCGTTGGCCAGCTCCTTGTACTTGTCATTGATGTACTGCAGCCGGGAGCTATTTACGGTGTGGCGTCGACTTAGCGGATTGTAGAGGGCGGTGCGGGGGCGTGGCACCGCCGGCTGTGGCTCCTCCTGATCCTGGTCAAGTTCCTCGGGACTCGAGGGAGTTTGGCTGCCCTGGAGAAACGGCGCCTTAATGCGCTGCGAATCTGGGAAAGGATAGTCTCAATAATATTTCTTTCTTTTGAAAAAATATACCAGGATATATAGCCCACCGATTCCTGCATATATACTCACCATAGCAAAACGATCGAATTATTTTTTGGGTCTGCAAGGCAGTTCGCATCTTAAATTGGCGAAGCATCCTGCAAATTCAAAAAAGAAAACCTTAATGCTTGTGTGGAGAATAAAGTACAGGGATTGGGATGGATTCGGTTTCAGTTGATATCCTATTCCCTTGCCGGGAAGTTCCTAGCGTTCCAAAGGCCCTGTTACTTTTTCGATTTTTTCGGGGGAGTGTAAAAAATGAGTTTGCCAGAAAGTAAAAAGTGCACCGTGAAATGGAATGAAATGAAATGCCTGGCTGTGAGTGGAAAATCAGAGCCTCCTGCCCTTCCCAAAACAAAAAATAAAATGCCCTGATGGGCATCCATTTCCACTCACAGGCCTTTCCCCATTCCCCTCCCTTTTGCCCACTTTTCCCCACCATTTTCCCATTTTCCACCGCCCACCCTTGCATGCATATTTATAGTTCCGCTTGTTGACAAATATCGCGCGCTGTTGACTGACGGAAAATTCATCAGCGGAGCGGGAAAAGTCGGGGAAAAGCGGAAGCTGCACTGATTAGAAACATAGTGTGGTGTCCTCGCTGAAAAAGTGCTGGTGATGGCAGAAAAAAAGCACGCACACGGCCAGTCCAAAAAATCTGGGGGAAAAATCAAGGACCGACATGCCCACACTCTTCGATTGCATATACATATGGCATTTTGCTGGGGATCAAGAGTTTGGCAGTGAAAAACTGCAGGAATTTGGGAATTAATTTGGATGGAGGGACAGCACTTCGAGTTGTGAGGTTAGAAAATGGAATCACTGAAAAACCAAGTTTACAGGTGTACTCCAATTACTTACCACACATAAAATGATTACTTAATTCATTTAATTTAAATTTATTTTCAATACATTGATTTAATTCAATGCATTTATTTTAGTTTTTTTTATCGATTTTTTATTGTCAGTTGGAAAACAGATGAAAAACGTAAAACATTTTATTATTCAACCGTATTAAGCCAAGTTATGATGAGCTATAAATGGGTTTTTGGTGAATCCGTACTCAAGCGTTATATATATATATTTATTCAACATTTTTGTATAAATTTCTTGTAATTGTTAAAGCAAATGAACAAAAAAGTATGCCATAAAAACAAAGTTACATGTGGGATATGAGAAAAATGCAATTTTCCTGAATCCCAGCCTTTGTGTTTAATAAAGCCTTGAATAAATAACTGATTTCCCTAAGTAAAGGGAATGAATAGTTCGACGGATTTGGATTGGTTGCTGTGTAAAAATGCACTTGTCATGGGATTGCACATCCTGGAGAGTCCTTTTTCCATATTCCCCCGCTGCAACTAAACAAATCCTGTGCTATGAATACAAAATGGCTGCATCGATTGCTGAGTTCGGGCCGCATATTTCAGCGATTGAAATATTAATGGGTGGCCATGGATATGGAGAGAATCCAAATCCGAATCCGAATCCGAATCCGGATCGGTGGCAGCGCCGGCGCTACACTTGTCTTTGTTCAGCAATTTGTGGCAACAATTGGCACAAAGGGCGGCGCACAATAAAAGCCACCTAAGACTACAGGTTGCACTGGCATGTGTGGACTCGGATTTCTCTGTTTTCCATTTTCCACTATCTATTAGCATTGGGCTAAGCCGCACTTAGGGCTAATATATGTATGCGTATGGCCGGCGAAAAGGATTCGGCAGACTGGTTGTCTGGGATAATCCTTCATCGGGCGATCGTGCAGGTCCTTTGTTTGGTGTGCCATTGTGCAACCAACACTTGTCGAGGCATCCAGTGAATACAGTGAGTATGCACAGGGAACACAGAGGAATACACTGCACAAAGGCACACCCGGTTACAAAGGACATGGCAGGATGCTGAATGCCGAATACTGAGCTGGATCGATCGATAGCCCATTGTCCTGCGATCCATCCTTCGCGATCCACTCAAGATAAATTAGCCCACAAAGTATGTGTAAGCTTAGCCCGGGGATTTGTTTCAGTTTCGGGGGTTTGAGCACAGCTCATTTTCCGTGGTTTAGGTAGGCGGGCGATCTCAGACGGCGTGTCTTCCGGTTGATTGCCGATTTTCTGTTTGGGAGTATAGCTACATGATGGTACAGAGATGCAACCAACAGCATAATAACAGAGTTTTTATCTTATTATGTTTACTTAAGCCGAAAGTACTAGAAATAAAAGAAAAACAATTTATATTAATAAATTTAATGTCATTAAATGTGACAGAGTTATTTATATATACAAATTATAATCATATATTATATATAAAAACCAAACATTTAATTTCAAAATAAAGTATAACAATAATATTATCTATATTAAATGGGAATAAATAGATATGTTGTTTTTATTTACAATATAATTAATTATGTAATAAACAACATTATTTGTATTTTTCTAATATGTTTTATCATAATAAATTTATCATATTTCTAAGTTAAGTTTAAATAAATAAATAGTAATACGAACAAATGATTTTAATTCACATATTAAGTTACCCTTCTGTGAAGTTATGTTAAATCCCTTCTTAATTGTATTGCTATAAATCTAAGAGAAAACTTGTGTTCGTTAGCTGTCCAACGTCCTTCCAACATCTTCCTTTGATCAATATTTTACCGACTTTGTCCAGTTTCTTTTTTTTCAATATCGAGGGCAGAGCGAAAGCACCGGGCAGCTGAAATCGTGTACATAAAAAATTACAATACAGAAAAGTTTATTACGAGAAATCCATGAAAATCAATGGAATGCGAGTAATAAACAGAGCGAAAGGGAGTGCAATTATTAAAATAATGTCCACAGGCCATTGAGTTCATAACGCGAATGAGGCCGCAATAAAATAAATAAATGAAGAGGAACTTGTCCTCAAATGAGGCATGCAAATGTCGCCAGGCGAAATAACAAAGGACGAGCTGGCCGAACGAGGGGCGTCATCAGCTCTATCACGGCGGTCCTGCTCGTCCTCCTCGTCCTTCTCGTCCTGGCCCATCCTGCCCTGAAATTTATTAAAAACAAAGAATATAAAGCCGGAGAGCGCCGGCGAATATAACAATATCCAGAGGGGCGGCGACTTTGGATGGTGGATTGCTCGATTTTCGGCCATTGGCCACAGCTGTTGGCCTGATAGATTAAAGGGCGGCCAGATATTAAATCTGGCTTTTTCCCGGTCCCGCATTCCTCCGCCGCGGGCAGATTATTAAAGAAATAAGATATCCGAACCAAGGGAGGAAATCTTGCAGATATCTGGCGGTGATTCTTAATTGAAGGCAACCGGATTTCGCGGACCAAGTTTGGTGGGGGAAATTCACCGGATTTCAACAGAGCCTTTTCATTTAATAAATTTATTTCGAAAACATTTACAAATTGAATTTAGCTACTTAATATAAATAAGATAGATCTAAGATAAATCTTTTTTTATATTAGACCTGACCAAATATTTTGAAATTGAATTAAACTTACTTATCAATCTAAATAACATAGGTTTTTTTCAACCTTAATCTAAGTAAGTCTAAGATAAATCTAAACATATTTATCTTAGACTTATTTACGTGATTAATATAGCTTATTATATTCATCTTAGACTTATTTACATAAGGTTCTTTCAATTTTTAAATATTTATTTACTTAATTAAAATTTCTTTTAAAATAAGTTTGGATTTAAACTAAAGTAGACATAAAATATTTCTAGACTTTTTAACTGCTACAAAACTCCGCCTGAAACCCCTCGTGTGTGGACTTTCCCACACACAAAAGATAAAAACCATTAAAAATCATTCGACACTTTTGCCAATAAATGTTTTTTTTTTTTTTTTTGCCAGGATTAGCGCTAAAGAAGTGTGACTGTGACCGGGAGCAGTTTCAGTTTCGGTTTCGGTATCGGGATCACAATTCGCAGACTGACCCCCGGGCAAGTGCTTAACCCGCTGCCAGTCGAGGGGGTGGAAAAAGTACAACAACAAAAAAAAAGGAGGACTAAAAGTTGAGAAGTTCAAGTGTATAATTTCGTAACAATTGGGACAGTTTTAGTGCTTCGCCGGAACGAAAATGGAGCGAGGTTTTTGGTGTTTTCAGTGTTTTCGGTGTCGGTGGTTGCTCCTGTGTTTCCCGTCCACTTTCCATTCCCCGAACTTAAATGCGGTTTCGTGTTACACATGTGCGTCTAATTAGCGACTGCTTAACGATAACAAGGACGACGGGTCGGTTCGGGTCGGAGGTCCTGTAACTAATATGCCAGAAAATTAGGGGGAGCGCACCGTTAACGAGCATGAAATTATTATCGAACTGCGATTGATGGGTAGAATGGATCCTGGCAGGATGTGTTTTGTGTTGGCCCAACACTTGTCCTCGGATGTGTGAAGCAGGTCAAATCTCCACGGCAACACGACACTCAAGTGGATATTTACTGATTATTAGTGACTGCTCCGGCTGCAATGTCCTGCAACACTTTTCACACGAATTCCGGCGCCACGGCCTCAAGTGCACTTCCGTCTGCAATTCTCCGGAGATTCGAAAAACTCGGACCGTCAACAGCTGTTCAAATTTGCCTGCCCATCCCCCGTCGCTATTACTTAGCATACAGGACGCAGGACGCAGGATCCGGGACTAGGGATAGGGATCCTGGGCTTAAGGAGCTCGGCAAATCGGATTTGGAGCTTTGGGCGTTAATAATTGGGGACCCCGACCGCTCTGATAAGTGAAAAGCCGACGCCGTCCGTTTGATCCTTTCCCAGAAATACCCTGTAAGGACGAAACTTAGCTGGGCAGCCTTGAGGCCTAATAAAAATAATAATGCTAGGAAATAACACACCTTAGATGATTGATATTGAAAAGGTTAAAAGTTATAACTGGTCATCGGATAAACAGATTTTAAACTTTGGCTAAACACAAAATTTTTTATAAAATAATAAATATTATGATAATTAACTTTTGGAATAAATTGCTGTCCAATAAAAGTTATTTTAAAATCGAATGCATTCAGTTTACTTAAAACAGAAATATTTTATGAAACTATTATAACTATTGATATACAAATTCAAAATTAAATAGTTAATGCATCATAACAACACCTTTTAGTTCCAGTTCTTTTTTTGGCTTAAAAACATTATTTGTTAGTATAAATATTATATTTGTTTAAGCCATTTTTGTAAAAAAGTTTTATTGCATAACTCGTTGCAAAGTTTGTCTCTACAAATATTTCTAGGGATTTATTTTGTTTATTAGTTCCAGGGTATAACCCTTCCTGTTTCCTTGAAGT